ATCTCTAGGGGCGGGGGAGATAGGAGCTCCCTGGTTCCAGCTGAGGCTTTTTCAGCTACAGTGTCTGGTCTGGACCAAAACCCTTTCAACAGCTTCTACGGATAGCTCTGCTCCCCATCCTGCTATTTCCATCTTTGGGACATCCAGCCTCCAGAATTTCTGCAATTCTTCCACTCTGTCGTCTCTGTCTCTGTCAGGCAATTCCAGGAACATCCAGAGTCAGGAAGGCACAGCCCCAGTTAGCATAGTTCTGAGTTCTAGTGGCTTCTTTCCAGCCCTGGTACTCAGCTCAGCCCTCTGGCTCTGCTTCCACTGTGCCCAGAGCCAGAAGATGACAGCCTAATCCACCTCTATCTCCACCATTTGCCACTTATATCTCACACAGCCCTCTGAGACTCTCTGTGTCTCATGGTTACTACGATGCTGGGGCCGGGATGGCCTTCCCCACAGGATAGCTATTTCCAAGTTCTACATTTCAGTGAGAGAATGGCTTGGCCTAGCTGGTACTGAGAGCACCTGATGGCTACGCTGGATGTTGAATATTGGCTGCAGTCATCAACTTCTTTTCCAGGAGGACATTTTATGTTAGACAAAATGGCATGCTGTCCAAACTTGCCCTGCAAGCAGCTCCAGGGTCAAGGACCAGGTTTCCTTCTTATTCTAGCTACCCATATCTCTAGATTTCACTTGTTTGCTCTATCATTCAGGTTGTACTACAATGGTTTATTTGCCTACCATCCAATGCAGCTCACATCTGTTAACCAGGGTATCTGAGAGTAACCTATGGGTGCTGCTGCCTCTAGTCAACCATGATTTTAAGTTCCAACCTCTTATAGTTGAGGTATTTGTAACCCTTGAGTGTGAAACATTGTTCCTGCAGTGTTATGGGTTAAATATAGTGTTTGCTAAGAGTTTCCTGTGTTTTGAGATGGGATTTCAGGTGACCACAACAGAGAAGTGCTATAGTCCATGACTGTGAGTTGCTGGGAGGTGTAGCCCAGGGAGAGTAACTGCAGATGTGCCTTGGATGATATAACTCTAGCTCTCAATCAGTGACTGCTCTATAGCCCGGATGTTGCAGTGAACTGTTTATAACACTGGAATCTCTAACAGGTTTGCCACCACTGCTCTAGATCATTCTCTTTCTCTCCTTCCTATGTGGATCAGCTTTCCTTCACCATGTCAGTTCTGCTTGGAAGCCACCTAACCAGGGACTGAATCCTCTGACACTATGAGTGAGTTGAAACTCTCCTTTTACAGGTGTTATTTTGTGTCACTTATGGGAAACTCACTAGCACTGTACAGAAGATTTGTACCACAGAAATTGGATAATTTTTCTGACTGTAGCTGACCTTACAGTTCAGAAGCCTTTGTAACTGTTTTGTGGAAGTTTGGAAAGGTTAGGAGATGCTAGAAAAGTCTTAAAACGATGTAAGCAGATTGATGGGAGATTCTGCTAGGAGTACAGAAGACCAGGACATTGATAGTGATGAAGACAGAAAAGGCCAGGATCAGGAGGTTTCAGATGGAAATAAAATTCTCTTAGAAATTGGACAAGATGCCACATGTTACATTCTGCAAATGAACTAAATTACATTCTGCCCAAGTCTAAGAAATGGGTTTAAAAGTGGCCAATTACTCATCTTGTAAAGAAAATTTCAAGGCACTCTAATGGCTGTGGTATTGGTATTGCTGCCTGCTTTAGCCAACTCTACAGTGAGAAGAGGAAAAAAATTAAAATCACAGAGCAATGGTTCAAAACTTTTAACCTGAAAGGAAGCAGGCATAAAATTTGGCCAAGAGAGTGTGGTTACTTAAAAGACTATTGCCATTAAAAAGAAGCCAAGTACTTTTCACCAGGACAATAGGAAAGATGATTCCAGGACATCTCTGTAAATGGCCTGAACCCACCTTTAGGGCTGTGAAGTGAAAGGATAAACTCTTTTGCAAGTTTTGAGAAGAGAGCCCCAGGGAGTCTTGTTTACTCAGTACTACCTAGGGAAGCCATCCCTGACCGAAGTCATCCAAGCACCGAGAGATCACTGCAACCATACTCTGTAGGGTTCCAGTTACTGCTCAAGTTGTTATGGTTTGTGTCTAATGTCCCCCAAAAGTTTTAGATGGGGCTCTTCTAAAGGTAGCTCAGTCTAGAGTGAGTGATTCATGGTGCAATGTTAGGATTAACGATGCCAGGGTTAAGGGCATGTGATTATTGAATCAGTCCACTGATTGGGTCAGCACCACCCTAATTCCAGTATACTAGATACAATATAAGGAACAGAAATAGGCTTCTCTCACTCCTCTTACTGCTTTGCTACCTTATGGCCACCATGACTGGTTTCCTCTTACTGCTTTTGCTATTTTGTGCCGCCATGAATGGTAGTCCCTCTGCCATGTGCAACCTTGCTTTGCAGTCAGTTGATTATGGACTGAAACATCGATGAACTGTAACCCAAGTAAACCTTTCCTCCTCTAACTTTTGATGTCAAGTATTTTGTCTCAGCAACAAGAAAAGACAAGTTGGCAGCAAACTTTGGCATCATCTGATGCTGGTTTTATCAGCATGCATGCAAAAGCATGAAAGAACTTGTGGTCATCAAGATTTCCATCCAGATTTCAAACACAGGCCTGAGAGGCCATGCAATGTGCCAGTAAGGTGCAATGTATGAAGCTGAGATCCTAGAAAGTTAGAGATGCCAAAAACACGGAATATATACTAAGGAAGATCACAGGTATAGTGCCAAAGGGAGGCCTCAGAAAATCCACAGTCGTGGAACTTTCCACTCCAAGGAGTTCCCATCTTTCCACTATTTGGCCCAGGTGCTGGGCATGGAAATACCAGACTTAATGCTTACCTTGATTCATTTTCTTAATCCTCCCTTTTGAAATGAGAGTATTTAACCTCCCGGTAATGATAAACTTTTTAGAGCTTTCAAACAGCACAAACATAGGATGTGCCATAGATTTGTCATGTGCCCTACAATATGTTACAAGTATTTAACTTTTTTTTTTTTTTTTTTTTTTTTTTTTTGTCTTTTTGAGACAAGGTGTCGCTATGCAGTTCAGGCTGGCCTTAGGTTCACTTTGTAGGCCAGGCTGGTCTCGAACTTGCCATGATCCACCTGCCTCGGCCTCCCGAGAGCTGGAATTACAGGAGTACGCCAACACACCTGGCTTAACCTTTTTAACACAGATTCACAGCTAAAAAAAAAGTTTGCCTTGTGTGTCAAGAGATGTTGGTCTTGGACTTCTGAGCAATACTGAAAATATTAAGATGTGGGTAACACTTGGAAATGGACTAAACGCATTTTGCATAAGATGAACGTGAGCCTTTGGGGGCCCACTGGTGAAGTGTTATGGTTTAGAGCTAATGTCCCCTAAAAGTTTTGTATGTTCAGACATGATTCAGAAGACAAATGGATCCAAGGGTGTAATACTTGTAACTGATGAGTTCATTGCTGAATGTGCATTTAGGGCAGAGCCATAGATGGAGTTGAGCCTCTGGTGCTATGCCATTGAACTACACAGGGCTCTCTCACTTTGGCACTTTCTCTTGCTCTCTGCTTCCTGGTTTCATGGATTCAGCAAATTTCCTTCATCAAGCTTTTCTATCAGTTTCTGCCTTGGAGCCAGCTGGAATAAACTTTCTAAAACTATGAATCAAATAAATTTCTCCTTTACAGATGTCAGGTATTTTGTGCCATTGATGAGAAGTGACTACTACATGTACATATGGTAGCACAGAGTTGTATTTTGTAATTAAATCTGACAATTTTTCCTTTTAGTTGTATTTCATTCACATATAGTGTTATTACTGACATTGTGGATTTATATCTATCATTTTGCTCTTTGTTTGCTAACTGCTTTGTTTTCTACTTGAGGGGGCACATATATGGAGAACTAAACTAAGAGCTTTTGAATTGAGCTACACCCCAGCCCTATTTTTCAGCCCTCTACTTCAAGTATTATTTTTGTTTTGTTTTGTTTTGGTACCAGGGGATCAAACTCGTGACTGCACACTTGCAAGGCAGGTGCTTATGCCGCTGAACTAAATCCGCAGCCCCAAGTATTATTTAATGTCATTTAATTGCATTTTTTTTGAGATGGGGTCTCACTATGCAGTTCAGGTTGGCCTTGAACTCACTTTGTAGCCCATGCTGGTCTTGAATTTGCAACAATCCTCCTACCCCAGGCTCCCAAATGTTAGGATTATAGGTGTGTACCACCATGCTTGGCTGCTTGATGGTAATTTAATTTTCTTATATATTTTTTGCTCTACAGTGTATTTGAGTTACCATGTTAATCTAAATTTCCCAAGCTCACCATAGGCTAGTGCTAACAATTCCAATTAGATATATAACCATTACAGATCTTATATAGCTTTACATCTTCCTACATATAGTTTGGTATAACTATATAACTTAAAAACTTTATCATAGGCAGAAGCAAGAGAAGCAATCCTTGCAACTTTACGGCCAACCTCAGTTACATAGTGAGTCCAAGGCTAAATCTACATAGTAAGCGCCTGTCTCAAAATAAATAAATAAATAAATAAATAAATATCTTATATGTGTCTCCTAGGTATTATTTCTAATTCTTCCTATAGAGATTACATCTGTAACACTATAGTCTCAACAACAGATTACTATGACATAATTCTATATATTTTGAAAAAAAGGAAATTATATATTTAGAAAATATGCTGCATTGACCTCGCTTATCATTGTTTCTCATCCTTTGTTTTTATGGTGTGCGGGGGTTTAACTCATGACCTTGCACTTGCCAGGCAGGCCCTTATGCCACTAAACTAAATCCCCAGCATCCTGTGTTTTTTAAACCGTTATCATTTAGTCGTTTTCTCAGTTCAGTATTTCTTTGGTTCCACTTACCTCCTAAAAATATATATTTCCTGCAAGAGAACAGACAATACATTTCATATACTGTTTTGTATAGTTGTTTTCTAAATCAGCTAGTATAAGGAGAAAATGTACACATATTAATTTTTACACTTTTATATTTACCTTTATTCCTTGTGTGAAAGTATGTGTGAATTCCTAGTTAGGCAACATAAGTTGGAAAAATCTCAATATGCTTGCTGGGCATAATGATGTATAAATTTGGGAATGAAGACAGACTAGTAACTTCCCCCAGAAAGCTCTCTCATATTCATAAAGTGACTCAGTAACAGCGGGCTATTGGTGCAAACAGGTCATAGACAAAGTAGCAGACTATTTCTCATTTGTGTAAAAAATAAGAAGTGCTGAGGCAAAGCTGAAAGATCTATGTTCTCTTCATCTATCTGAAATCACAGTGAACATCTCCCACGTCTACTTCAAGGTCATCCTGAAGGTCAGTAGTTCTTCAGTCTCAAAAAACTTTAGAAATGTGAGAGGATGGCATGCTCATTGTCATTATGTTACCGGGATGGTATGTTATGTTCATCACATGTGTATGCATGCCCCAGGCAGAAACTGCTCAATGAAAAGCCACACTAAGGCAAGGATAGGAATTGCAGGCTGTTTCCTAGAGAAGAGTAAATGGTTTCTGGAGGGCACACAGCTAGTCTCTTCCACACAAGATTTTTCCACTATATGAATTCCCTGTTTGCAGAGGTGTGACTGGAGAAAGTATTCCCACCTTCACAGAAGCTTCCCCCATGGTGAGTTCTCTCATGCTTCCGGAGGTGTGAGGTTTGGCGAAAAGTTTTTCCACAGTGGTTACATCCATAGGGTTTCTGCCCGGTGTGTGTCATCTGATGTTTAGTGAGGTATGACTTAAAGTAAAAAGCTTTTTCACAGCCATTACATTTATAGGGTTTCTTCCCACTGTGTATTACCTGATGGTGAGTGAGGTAAGTCTTCAGGCCAAAGCACTTTCCACACTGATTACATTCATAGGGCTTTGCCCTAGTGTGGACTGTTTCGTGTTTAGTGAGGTATGTCTTCTGTCCAAAAGACTTGCCACACTGCCCACATTTATAGGGTTTCTCACCTGTATAAGTATGCCAATGCTTCGAAAGGTCTGCCTTGTTGGGAAAAATTTTTCCACATTCATTACATTTATTGATTTTCTCTTCCATGTGAATTTTTCGCCAGTGCCTCTGGAGTTGTGACTTCTTTCGAAAGGCTATTCTACATTTAGTGCATTGATAGGGCTTCTCCCCACTGTGAATTTTCTGATGAATGGTGAGAGATGACCTACGGCACAGAGTTTTCCCACATTCTTTACATTCATACAGTTTCCCCCAACTATGAATGCCCTGGTGCCTCACGAGGCCTGACTTAGTGGGAAAGGCTTCCCCACATTCATCACATTCATAGGGCTTCTCAACAGGGAAACTCTGCTGCACAGTCATGGCTGACTCAGTGTGGGACCATTTCTCACACTGCTCGTATGCATAGGGCTCCTTCTCTGAATATTTCTTCTGCTGGATAAGGAAGGTTTTCTCACATTCACCACATACACAGGATTTCTCCCCTGTGTACATCTGACGTGCAGTGAGATCACAGTTGGGATAAAGAGTTTTCCATCCTACCGTAGCAACCAGAGCTGACTTCCCACAGGTTTTCCCAGATTCGTCATGTTCCCAGCAGGCCTGGCCCATAGGAACCCTGCTATGTGTAATACACTCCTTCGGTAATTTCGCCTCCTTGGTGAAGGCTTTCCATTGTCCAGTATACTGAAAATCCGGCTGCCCAGGTGGAAGCTTGGAATGCTGACCAAAATGCACAGCACGCCTCAGGGGTTTCCCAGTTGTATGACACTGATTTGGTTTCTCTCCAGCGCCCATCTCGCCAGGCTCATTGGGGAGATGCTCCCCTGCTGAACAGTTCCCAGGGTTTATTCTCAAATCTAAAACAGGGTTCGAGCTCAGATCAAAATTCGACTCAAGAACTTTGAGCTCAAGTCCTAATTTGACTCTCTCCTCAGCTGCTCTGTTGTTGGCAGTAACAACTTGCCACAGAGGTCTGCCTTGACACTCGTGGCTGCCTTCCATCACGCCATCACTTTCTAGACATCTAAAATGAGAAAAAATAATGATACATCAACCACATGTATGCATTTCTTATAAAAAGCTCATGTAACGCTAAAAGGAATTTTCCCTATCTTAAAAACATAAGGTTCAATGAAAAAGACAAAAAACAAAAAAAAATTCTGGGCTGGGGATTTAGCTCAGTGGCGTAAGCACCTGCCTTGCAAGCAGGCGGTTGTGAGTTCAATCCACAGTACCGATAAAAAAGAAAAAGTATAATGGTTACTGGGTATAAGTATATAGTTTTTCTTCCTGTGGGCTTTAATAAATTATATTGACAGATTTTGGAATATTAAAATGATGTCTCTTCTTTTTACTTCACGGAGAACCATTCCCTTAAAGTACGCTGTCCCTCCTGCCGATACCCTGCTCACTACCCTGCTCTGAAGGTGGCAAGAACATCCTGACCTGCCAGCTGTAGCATGTTAATGAGGTCCCACTGCCTGACACCTAAGCAGGCACACGGCATATGAACAGGGCTGTGCATCTATCGTTCCATTTTCATTCGTCTCTGGGGAATGAATGTAGCCACCTGGGAATTATTAAAATATAAATTCCCTTCTTTTCACTGCAGGCAAAGACAGTATCTTCTAAATTCCTAAACCTACTTCTGCATCTCAGAACCAAAACAAGCACAACCTTGTCCATCACCATGGACGACTGTCTTTCTAGCACCTTCTGAGATCAGGAACCCTGACAATGAACCCCTGTGCTCGAGTAGTCACTGCCTCTGAAGGACACTGCCTCCTGTGTTTGAAAAATGGAGTCCTCTGTACATTTCTCATCCTTGTGGTCAACTCATACTGAACTCCAAACCAGAAATCTCAACTCCTTCACACAGAACCTTTGCATCAGTTGTCCTTGGGGCTAAGGACCCACAGTGCATTGCAAAAGTCTAAGCTTCGCCTCTTCATGCTCCTCTTACTTTCACAACTTCTGACAGCGTGCTTCACACATACAAGGGCACAATTTCCAATACTTAAAACCTGCTCTGGGGCTGGGGGTGGATGTAAGTTGGTAGAATGCTCACCTACATGTGTGAGGCCCCACACTCTCCAGCACCGAAATAACAAAAGAAAAAAGCCCCTTATCAGGCCCACCGGCAGGCTGAGGCAAGAGGATCACATATTTAAGGCCACGCTGAGCAACTCAGTCAGACCCTGTCACAAACTACAACATAAAAAGGACTAGATGCAGGTGATGCTGGGTTTAATCTCAGGGGCAGGGGGTGACTGTGCTGAAGTAGAAATGCATTTCTCAGTAACTGTCTGATATCAACAAAAAGAACCTATAATGGAGGGAAAGATGTAATGAGAATACAACAGCAGCAAAAGCGAATGTCTAGGGCCAGGGGTTTTGCTCAGCTGTGTTAATGCCTGCTTGGCACATGTGAGGTCACGAGTTTGCTTTCCAGTACCAAAAACAAACAAAAACAAAAAACAAAACAGAACAGAAAACCAAATGTCTAAAAGGAGGAACCTAGGGATTAGGTTTGGGGAACACCTAAGAGAATATTCAGTATAATAAAAGGTGGGCCCATTGAATCAGTGCCCTGCATGCCTGATGCATGTAGAACAGGCATCCTGAGGTCTGGAACTTGTGGAAACATTAATGTTCAACATCTGCACACAGCCACTATCTGCTCAGCTCCCCTCCTGCTGGTCTCCCTGCCCAGTGTGCACTGACTGACCTGTAGGCCTCTGACTTGGGGGTTCTTCTCCCATCCATGGCTCTGCTTCTTGCTCCAGTTTAAACATCACTTCAGGTTTGGTGATACAATGTTCTGATAAGAGGAAATAATGTATTGACGAAACTGTTATATTAGCTTTTTTCATTCTGATTTCAGAATGCAAATAGTTGTTTCAAGAGTTATGCAATGAAGATGCCAAATGAACTCTTTGATAGAGTGTAAACAATCACATTTGTCATGGACTAGCAAGTTACAATAATATTACGCCTTACATGTGGTCACATATGTAGTAAGAAGGGGCTTGCTCCAGACAGTGACAAGGATTTCACTCACCCAGCAGCACCAGGCTGTTATAGGTATCTAGCTCACTCCCTGTATTATAGGGTCCTCTGAGCATCATCCAGGACCTGCCACTCCTCCCGTGTGAAGTTCACAAAAACATCATCAAAGGACACCAATACCTGTAACACAGCATTTCTTACTCCTCCGCCCTGTTCACAACAACAGGAACCACAAAGTCTGGCTTTCAAGTGAATAGGAGGCACTGTTTGCAATACACAGCTTGCTTTGTATGTGGGGGGAGAAGGGTCACAAAACTAGCCTGCATTGAAAATATTTATTTACTACTAAATATAGTTTATAGAGTTTACTTTACAAATCTAAAGCCACCATTATTGCTAGGATTTAAAATGTAAATAAAATTATGACTTAAAGGAGCTTATGATCTCGGATGAAGAAAAATAAGTATGAATACATGCCATGCTAATGATCTAGACAAAATGTCAATGTACGTGAAGGAAGAAAGGAGACAATATAGCTCAGTTTTCTGGACATGGTGGTACATGGCTGGATTCCCCACAACTCAGGAGGCTGAGGTAGGAGAATTGCCATGAGTTCGAAGCCATCCTAAGCTACAAAAAAAAAAAAAAAAAAAAAAAAAAATTTACAATGAATACAGGTCACTCTAATACCTGTTATCAATAAATTAAAGGATAAGAAGTGCTGATAAGGATGTGGGTTAAAGGAAGTCCTTACACACTGCTAGTGGGAAGTAAACATTCATACAGTCAGTATGGAAAGCTGCATGGAAGTCCCTCATACAATTCAATGAAATTATTGTATCACCCAACAGTTTCACTACCAGATTCGAGTGTCCAAAGGAAATGAAATCAGAATGCAGCAGAAAGGCCTGCCCTCCTGTCACCAGCCACCTGGATTCCTATGCTCAAGTTCATTTCCTCGCTTTTGACCAAACCAAAGGAGGCCATATACTTTGGTAAAAAGATTTATTATAAGCTTGTTCCAACGAGGTAGAGGGGCCCATTTGCCTCAAAACACTAATTCACTTGTACAGGTGGGTAAGGATTTTTTGATAGTAAAGAATAGAGAGAGAATGCAGATCTCCACACTTGAGTTATCTTTAGCTCTTTGTCCCTTTTCTGTTGGAAAGGAAACTGGGCTTCTGTTCCCTAGGACCAGCATCTGTGTACTGTCTCCATCATTCATCTGGGCTGAGGAGAAGAGGGGATGTTTGTTATGTGCTCAGCAAGAGGAAGTTTGGAGAGGTTGAAAACATGTACCAAATGTGTTTGTTATTTACCATGGCTTCAGAAAGGCCACAGACATTGCGCTCACCACAGATGACTCTCGTCTTTATCTACAGACCAACTCAATCTTATTTATGTCCATTTCCCTAGTGCTGACTTTTACACATTCCTACAATTCCATTTTAATCCATGGATACCATAAAGGTGGTAAAATATAAAACAAGGTCAGGAATGAACAACTCAATGAAGGCTACTTCATTTTCTGTTTTTCTTGGAAACACATAGAGGACTCTGGAGGGACAGCTGAGAGAAGACAAATGTGGGAAAGTCATGCAAGAACAGGGAGGTGAAGTCCTAGATTGCCCTCCTGAAAACATTTCACATATTAAGGACTGAGGGCCGGGGATCTAGCTCAGCGGCAGAAGCACCAACGCGGCAAGCGCAAAGTCCTGAGTTTGATCCCCTGTGCCAAAATATCCTGCCACTATTTTTCTGCAGAAATTCTGATTTTCAGGGATAGATTACTGACATTAGGTGGGAAAACTACCTATTACTCATCCTTTTATGTCACATAATGCACAAAAAATATTAGGGGTAACAAAGGACATGTATTCTTAGGACAAGATATTTTAATGCAATGTTCTAGGGCTGTAACTCTTGCTTATCAAGTGTAACACTCAGGGTTTGAATCGCAGCACTACAAAGTACAGAGAGAAAGTGACCAAATCTGAAAACAAAGTTCCTCCTAAGTTGACTTCAGGATCACCCAACTGATCTTAAAAACTAAGCAAAAACCCTTTTAAATGTGCAAAACAGAAAGCTGAAAAGGGAAGATGTGCCTGACTGCTGCATATCTGGTGAGATTGGTCAAAGTCACTTTTGTAATTTAAATCAATTTTTTTCCATCTTGCTACAACCCTGCAATACTTTGGCTAATGTTTCCAATAATGAGATAAAAGGATTCTCATGAGACACCAAGTTTGTAGACAGGTCAGTTATGGTGAACGTTTTAGAGCTTTCAACTGATACAGCAGCCTGCTGCAGCACATGTGTCACAAGTTAGCCACCACAGGTCGAGGTTTGAGAGCTCACAGAGTAGAAGCAGGTGTGGGAATACGCGTCTTTAGAGAGCATGGTAAAAGGTCTGCTCAGGGTCACAACCTATCCTTCCACATCACACCACACCTTCCAGATCCTTCCTTTAACATTTCCCTTGTACAACTCTTTCACTCTGGAAGCTAGATTTGCGAAAAACTTCTGTAAACTCAAACAAAAACACTAGTGAGGCTACACAGCGCAGTACAAGGAAATGTCACTTGTCGAAGAGACACTAAGAAGCTCACACATACAACTGCCACATCCCAGGACTCCATCCACACACACTCACAATCATTTCTTAGGGAAACTGGGGGAATTCTGTAGGACTGTGCATTAGGGCTCCCTGCAGGAACAGAATCAACAGGAAGCAGTGTGTATGTTTAAGGGGATTTACTAGGTGCTGACAGCGTCAGGAGCAGGGGAGCTCATAATGGCCGCCTAGGCGATGGAGCGTCAGGGGACCCTGCAGCTACTCAGTCCAAGAAGAGGAATCCACAGAACGACAGAGCTCAAGGATGCAGCACCAACCCAAGGTGAAGGGCTGGAAGTTCGCTGGAGACCTGCACGACAGCGAGTCTGTGCAGGAAAACTCAAGAAACCGGAGACCGGGGAGAGGATACTGGATGATAGCAGCAAATGATTGGCCCGCAGGACGTTGCAGCTCTGCAAACCAGGCACACACCCCTCCATCCAAGCCGCAAGCCTATTGGCTGGGGCCACCCACATCCGGGCGTGTCCCTGACCCTCAGCGTGCTGGCCCTCGCGTCAAGCACGGACACATCCACGACTGTGCTTTACTAATCCTCTAGTTGTTTGATCCGTTCAGGTTTGTGGTTTGCGAACTTGAGTCGCGGACCGCTCATCTCGTCTCACACAGGAGTAGACCGACGACACAGCGAGCTTGCTGGGAGAAGCAGCGTGCTGAGGGCCAGACCTGCCACGCGAACTCGGCGCACGCTGGCCAACTCGCGTGGTCTACAGACGCCGCCTGTGTGGACCTCGCCACTCGCCCGTCTCCCTCGCAGCTCCTGAGGACACGCTCTGCGCACCCGGCGCACGCAGGGCCGAGCCGCCCTGATTAAGCAGTGAGGAAAGCCAGGCCGGGTCGCCCTCGCCCGCATGGGACTCGCGGACCCCGCGCTCACTTCGCTGCCCAGACCCACTCGGGTCGGTCCTCAGCTGTGCACCGCAGGTCCTGCCGCCCACACCCTCCCGTGTTCCCGCTGCCACCAAGGACAGGCTATTCGTCCGGCCCCTCAGGGTTTAAATTGGCGTCTCTCCCTCCCACTAACCTTCAGTGACTCGGAAGAAAACTCCTCAGCCTATAAAGTAACTGTAGGGCGGGGCGATGCCCGGAACTTCCGGTAAAGATGGCCGTTATTTTCCTGGACCACTTCTTGTTCTGTGATGTAAGTATGATGTAAGCTGTTAGACTGTATTTCCCACAATTCTCCGCGCGGTCCTGCAAAAAATAAAGTGGCTCCTGCTGGAGGGCATGACCAGCATCCTGGCACTGAACATGAAGACTGCTCAATTACACAGTATTCGGCACACATGCCCATTTCAGTGTCTGTGTAAACATGAGGACTGAAAAAGGGAGGGCAAATTCTGCTTGCAGATTCCATTTTACTGAGTGGGATGAAACAAGAACCACCGATCGGAGATGTTGAAGTTAATCTAGACTTAAACCATTAAACATTACGTATCTCATGTGTGCTTTTCTATGAAAATGTTTTAGAACCACTCTCTGGCACTGCTGCAGACTTTGGGAAAATATGTACATTAGAGTTTGGTAATAATCATAGTACAAATCCACATACACTAGAAGTAAGCACATGAATGTAGTAAGGCACAGAACAAGACACAGAGGCTGGTCTGGCATGTAATGTGAAAAATTTTTTTTGGTGCCGGAAATTTGAACTCACTACCTTGTGCTTGCCAGGCAGGTGCTATGCCACTGAGCTATATCCCCAGCTCAAAAATTCTTAATTTCTATGCCTTGAATATGGTTTGAGTGAACCTTTAAAAGGTGAGGCCTCACTGGGCTATTTCTACAACTCAAGCCCAGTTTCAGCAGTAAATTGCAAGTGAGTGAAATCATACCTCAAAATATTTTTTAAAAACTGAGAATGTAGCTCAGTATGAAGGCCCTGGTTGCAACCCCAGGACCTCACAGGCACATGCATGCATGCCCACACACTGGCTGGAAATACGAGCTCCTAGGTTCAATCCCCAGTACTAGAAAAGAACATAGTAGAGCTGAGTAGGAGGGACAGAGTCACTACTAGCAGTGCCACAGAAAGGAACAAATGCTTGGGTAGAGTTGTTGTAGGAATGGTTATTATAAAGCAGGGCCTCTCAGCACACGTGGCCTCTTCTGCCCACGGCGAGCTTCCTTTCCATATCTGCAGCATGATGTGAACCAGCCAAGCAAGACAACATAGAGGCTGAAGTACTGCAGCCACCTTGACTTATAAAGTACCAGGACTCAAGGGTTTTGTCATAGCAACAGAAAATGGATTAATGCACTAATCTTAAGCCACAATGTTTACTATACCAGCTGCATTTATCACCTTCACCTAGTTATTCTGGGCCTCATGAACAAGCATTTCTAACATAAAAATACTCTGAGGAAACCCTGCACATTTCAGGGTCTGTGCTGTTTTCTGCAGTCTGTGTAGCTATACCACAGGCCTCTAACAACCAGGCAGCAGTAACCAAAACATGACTGCACATAGTCCAATGCAGGGAATAGCACCACTTTTCATTACTGGTACTCAAATATTTTGTATTTTGAATACTACCTCCAGCATTGTTACTATTGTACTGAGAATACATCTGACACATAAATAAGGGAAAAACTTCACTTCAAGCGCTGACTCAGTAAAGGTAACAGATTGACATTATTCTCAGTGTTCCATGAAATATCACTGTCAGACGTGAAACCTCAAATTTGTTTCACCCTTTCTTTCCTGATTGCTTCTAAGAAAAACTGACTTAGAGATGAAGTGACAACACAGGCTTCTCTTCTGTATAAATCTGTGATACACAAAGGCCGCTAACTTCCTTCAGAGAGATCCTGAAGTGAATCCTAACAGTGGGCCACTAGTGTTATAATGCAAACAGATCACACATAAAATAGCAGAAGAGTAGACATTTATTTCTCACTCGTGTAACAAACACAAGTACTGAAACAGAGATGGAAAGCTCTCTTCTCATATGTCTTAAATTACAGTGACTCTCCCACCTGTACTTAAAGACCATCCTGAGGTCAGTAGCACTTTAATCTCATAAAACATGAGAAATCTGAGAGGACAGCATGGTCGTTACTTTTATGTTGCCAGGCTTGTATTAATGCCCACCATGTGTCTGCATTCCCCAGGCAGAACTCAGGCCACAGTAAGACAAGGTGAGGAAATGCAGGCTGGGCCCCAGAGAAAAGGAAATGGTTTTTGGAGGGTACATAACTAGTATCTGCCATACAAAACTTTTCTACTATGTGAATTCACCAATACTTGCTGAGGTGTGCTTTGAGCAAGTTTCTACCTTCATAGAAGCTTCTCTCCCATGTTGAGTTCTCTCATGCTTGCTGAGGTGCGAAGTCTGTCGAAAAGTTTTTCCACACTGGTTACATCCATAGGGTTTCTCCCCAGTGTGTGTCATCTGATGTTTAGCAAGGTATGACTTATAGGCAAAGGATTTCTCACAGTCATGACATTTATATGGTTTCTCCATGGTATGTGTCATCTGATGGTTAGTGAGATAAGTCTTCTGACCAAAGGATTTTCCACACTGATCACAACCATAGGGCTTCTCCCCAGTGTGTGTCATCTGATGCTTAGTGAGGTAAGTCTTCTGACCAAAGGATTTCCCACACTGATTACATATGTAGGGCTTTTCCCTAGTGTGGACTGTCTCATGTTTAGTGAGGTGTATCTTCTGGCCAAAAGATTTGCCACAGTGACCACATTTATAGGGCTTCTCACCTGTGTGTGTACGCTGATGCTTAGTAAGGTGTATCTTCTGGCTAAAAGATTTTCCACACTGACCACATCCATAGGGCTTCTCACCTGTGTGTGTACGCTGATGTTTAATGAGATGTGACTTCCTGTGAAAATATTTTCCACATTCATTACACTCATTACATCCTTTGGGTTTTTCTTCCATGTGAATTCTTGCCCAGTGCCTCTGGAGTTGTGACTTTTTGCAAAAGGCTACTGAACATTTAGTGCATTGATAGGGCTTCTCCCCACTGTGAATTTTCTGATGAATGGTGAGACATGACTTACGGCACAGAGTTTTCCCACATTCTTTACATTCATACAGTTTCCCCCAACTATGAATGCCCTGGTGCCTCACGAGGCCTGACTTAATGGGAAAGGCTTCCCCACATTCATCACATTCATAGGGCTTCTCAACAGGGAAACTCTGCTGCACAGTCATGGCTGACTCACAGTGGGACCATTTCTCACACTGCTCGTATGCATAGGGCTCCTTCTCTGAATATTTCTTCTGCTGGATAAGGAAGGTTTTCTCACATTCACCACATACGCAGGATTTCTCCCCTGTGTGCATCTGACGTGCAGTGAGATCACAGTTGGGATAAAGAGTTTTCCATCCTACCGTAGCAACCAGAGCTGACTTCCCACAGGTTTTCCCAGATTCGTCATGTTCCCAGCAGGCCTGGCCCATAGGAACCCTGCTATGTGTAATACACTCCTTCGGTAATTTCGCCTCCTTGGTGAAGGCTTTCCATTGTCCAGTATACTGAAAATCCGGCTGCCCAGGGGGAAGCTTGGAATGCTGACCAAAATGCACAGCACGCCTCAGGGGTTTCCCAGTTGTATGACACTGATTTGGTTTCTCTCCAGCGCCCATCTTGCCAGGCTCATTAGGGAGATTCTCCCCTGCTGAACAGTTCCCAGGGTTTATTCTCAAATCTGAAATAGGGTTTGAGCTCAGATCAAAATTCAACTCAAGAACTTTGAGCTCAAGTCCTAATTTGACTCTCTCCTCAGCTGCTCTGTTGTTGGCAGTAACAACTTGCCACAGAGGTCTGCCTTGACACTCGTGGCTGCCTTCCATCACGCCATCCACTTTCTGGACATCTAAAATGAGAAAAAATAATGATACATCAACCACATGTATGCATTTCTTATAAAAAGCTCACATAAAGCTAAAAGGAGTTTTCCTTATCTTAAAAACATAAGGTTCCACAAAAGTCATAATGGTTACTGGGTATAAGTATATAGTTTTTCTTCCTGTGGGCTTTAATAAATTATATTGACAGATTTTGGAATATTAAAATGATGTCTCTTCTTTTTACTTCACGGAGAACCATTCCCTTAAAGTACGCTGTCCCTCCTGCCGATACCCTGCTCACTACCCTGCTCTGAAGGTGGCAAGAACATCCTGATCTGCCAGCTGTAGCATGTTAATGAGGTCCCACTGCCTGACACCTAAGCAGGCACACGGCATATGAACAGGGCTGTGCATCTATCGTTACATTTTCTTTTTTTTTTTTGGCTTTTTTTCATTTTTATCGGTACCAGGGATCGAACTCTCGACTGCCTGCTTTCAAGGCAGGTGCTTATGCCGCTGAGCTAAATCCCCAGCCCCTATCGTTCCATTTTCATTCGTCTCTGGGGAATGAATGTAGCCACCTGGGAATTATTAAAATATAAATTCCCTTCTTTTCACTGCAGGCAAAGACAGTATCTTCTAAATTCCTAAACCTACTTCTGCATCTCAGAACCAAAACAAGCACAACCTTGTCCATCACCATGGACGACTGTCTTTCTAGCACCTTCTGAGATCAGGAACCCTGACAATGAACCCCTGTGCTCGAGTAGTCACTGCCTCTGAAGGACACTGCCTCCTGTGTTTGAAAAATGGAGTCCTCTGTACATTTCTCATCCTTGTGGTCAACTCATACTGAACTCCAAACCAGAAATCTCAACTCCTTCACACAGAACCTTTGCATCAGTTGTCCTTGGGGCTAAGGACCCACAGTGCATTGCAAAAGTCTAAGCTTCGCCTCTTCATGCTCCTCTTACTTTCACAACTTCTGACAGCGTGCTTCACACATACAAGGGCACAATTTCCAATACTTAAAACCTGCTCTGGGGCTGGGGGTGGATGTAAGTTGGTAGAATGCTCACCTACATGTGTGAGGCCCCACACTCTCCAGCACCGAAATAACAAAAGAAAAAAGCCCCTTATCAGGCCCACCGGCAGGCTGAGGCAAGAGGATCACATATTTAAGGCCACGCTGAGCAACTCAGTCAGACCCTGTCACAAACTACAACATAAAAAGGACTAGATGCAGGTGATGCTGGGTTTAATCTCAGGGGCAGGGGGTGACTGTGCTGAAGTAGAAATGCATTTCTCAGTAACTGTCTGATATCAACAAAAAGAACCTATAATGGAGGGAAAGATGTAATGAGAATACAACAGCAGCAAAAGCGAATGTCTAGGGCCAGGGGTTTTGCTCAGCTGTGTTAATGCCTGCTTGGCACATGTGAGGTCACGAGTTTGCTTTCCAGTACCAAAAACAAACAAAAACAAAAAACAAAACAGAACAGAAAACCAAATGTCTAAAAGGAGGAACCTAGGGATTAGGTTTGGGGAACACCTAAGAGAATATTCAGTATAATAAAAGGTGGGCCCATTGAATCAGTGCCCTGCATGCCTGATGCATGTAGAACAGGCATCCTGAGGTCTGGAACTTGTGGAAACATTAATGTTCAACATCTGCACACAGCCACTATCTGCTCAGCTCCCCTCCTGCTGGTCTCCCTGCCCAGTGTGCACTGACTGACCTGTAGGCCTCTGACTTGGGGGTTCTTCTCCCATCCATGGCTCTGCTTCTTGCTCCAGTTTAAACATCACTTCAGGTTTGGTGATGCAATGTCCTGATAAGAGGAAATAATGTACTGAAGAAACTGCTATATCAGGTTCTGTTCAGAGTGAAAACAGCGCCATTTCAACACCTGTGCAATGTAGGTCCCAAGGTGAACCCTTCATTAGAGAGAGGGAATGATCACATTCTTCATAGACTAGCAGCTTATACTGTTCTGGTTTATATCTAGAAGTCTCCCCAGGGTTGTCTGGGCTCATAGGTGGGCCTTTGGGGAAGTCATTGGGTAACAGTTCTTTGGCACTGGGATGTGGGTGTGTGGTACTGAATTAGTCCACTGACACGTTTAAAGCTGGCTGTGATGCTGGGAAGTGAAGCCTGGTGTGACAGGTGGGTCACTGCTGACCTGGCCTGGAGATAGCTGAGCTGGCCTGGAGACAGATATCATTCCTTCCTTCTTCCTTGAAGCCATCTTACTTCCTGCCAGCCACACCTCAAGCTTTCTCCTCTGCCATTCCCTCTCTGCCATGCCATCCTGCCTTGGAGCCAGTCAGCTCTGGACTCAAGCCTCTACAAACTGTGAGCCAGATAAACTTTTCCTCCTTTAACTTGTGGATGTTGGGTATTATGTCTCAGCGATGAGATGGTAACTAAGACATTAAAGCATTAAGCCTTACTACTGCTTCTTAAATAAATAGACACGTCTCAGATGAAAAAGTAGAAATGGAAAGCAAGTGTAGGACAATCAATATTGTTGGTCATTCAAGAAATACAAATTTTGGGCCAGGGGTTTAGCTGAGAGGTGTAAGTGCCTGCTTGGCAAACTCAAGGTTGTGAGCTTGATCCCTGGCAAAAAAAAAAAAAAAAAAAGAAATACCAATTTTTTTTTTTCTTTTTCTTTTTTCTGGTACTGGGGATCAAACTCACGACTGCCTGCTTGCAAGGCAGGTGCTTATGCCACTGAGCTAAATCCCCAGCTCCAAGAAATACAAATTTTAAAACACTGAGATTCCACCTCACTTCAGAAAGTATGGTTACTATCCAGAAATCGCCCAATAAGAAATGCTGGTGGGCTTCGGAGAAAAAGGGATCCTTTTCCACTATTGGTAAGAATGTAAGTTGGTACAATCAGTGTGAAGATTCCTCAAAAAACCAGGACTAGAGGCCCATTGGACTCAGCTATTCCCCTTATTGATATCTTCCTAAAAGAATAGTATGAGGCCAGGTATGGTGGGGCACACCCGTAATCCCAGCACTCGAGAGGCTGAGGCAGGAGGATAACATTGAGTTCGAGGACAGCCAGTGATACACAGAATTCGAGGCCAGTTTGAACTGCATAGCAAGACCCTGTCTCAAAAAAAAAAAGGATAGCATCATACCGCAGCAATATATACACACTCAGTGTTTACAGCAGCACAATTTGTAATGGCTACATCTTGGAAACAGCCCAAATGCTCACAACTGATAAATGGGTGAAGATGTGTGTGTGTGTGTTTTTTAATACAGTAACGTACTACTCTGCCAAAAAAGATAAGCTTGAAACATTTCTAGCTAAATGGACACACCTTGAGATTATACTCTTAAGTGAAATAAATTGGACACACTTGTAAATATCACATTGTTTCTCTGGTATGAGAAACCAAAAGTGTAAATAAGGATCAAAATGTATAACAGATATTGTGGAATAGGAAGAAAATGTTCAAATGTGAAGGGAACCTATGGAGGGGGGAGAGGGAAAGGAAAAACAGGAAAAGAAAAAATGAGAAAAGGAAAAATACAAATAAACTTTTGTAAATAAGAAGACAGGAGAGGACAGAAATGGGAAAAAAAGAATCAAGTTAAATCATGTATAGGTACAAATTCCCTATGATGAATGTGATCAATATGTATACCTAAAAGGTACCAATAAACTTAATTAATTTAAGAAAAGAAGAACTGTTATAGACAAAATAGGAAAAAAAAAGCCTTATATGAGGTCACTTGTGTAGTAAGAAGGGGCTCACTCCAGAGAGTGACAGGGATTTCACTCACCCAGCAGGACCAGGCTGTCATAGGTCTCCAGCATCACGTCCCTATACAAGGTCCTCTGAGCATCATCCAGGACCTGCCACTCCTCCCGTGTGAAGCTCACAAAAACATCATCAAAGGACACCAACACCTGTAACACAGCATTTCTCACTCTTCTGCCCTGCTCACAACAACAGGAACCACAAAGTCTGGCTTTCAAATGAGTAGGAGGCACTGTTTGTGATACACAGCTAGCTTGGTATGGGGGGGAGAAGGGTCACAAAACTAGCCTGCATTGGAAAGCATTTGTTCACTACTAAAAATAGTATTACAGAGTTTTCCTTACAAATCTACAGCTACACTTACTGGTAGGGATTAAAATGTAAATAATATTTTGTCCCTTAAAGGAGCCAAGATCTGGTATGAAGAAGTAGTATGAATACTGCCACACTAACCTGTTCACACATAAACTCACTTAGACACAATGTCAACATAAATGAAGCAAGGAGAGAATATAGTTGTTCAGTTTTACATTGTGAGGGTACACTGAACTCCCAAAGCTGTTAGCTTTTCCCTCTGCAAACCAGGTCCTCCCCTGACTACAGAGGAACAGCGTTACTGTGCTCAGTGGCACAGAGTGAACGCAGTCACATTAATCAACAACCACAGTGTCGTGTCTGGGTGGATGAACCTGGTCTGGGATGGGACATAACACAACACTGAAGGAACCAGCCAGTGCATGATTCTGCATTTATACTTGAATATATTCCAACAGAAACACAGGGTAGGCATCTGTCAATTTTTAGTTATGTTTAAGTTGACACCATGCACACAGCCCTCCTCTATGACCTTCCTGTGAGCCACATGACTCCCCATGTTTGCTCCCGGTGAGCACCGCGACACCCCAACCGGCAGGGTGTAAGTAACAAGGTCCGGGGAGAACAGATAGGTTTCCCGGGCAGCTCTGCGCTTCCACAGTCAGCTCCTAGAAGGGAAACCAGAAGGTTCCTGGGAGCATCAGAGGGGACAGAGCCAGGTGAGACACAGTGACCTCCAGCAGCACACAGAGAAGCAAAACCACACAAGAGGTAGGCAAGTCCTCAGCAGACCACACAGAAGAAAAAGCAAGGACAGAAGCTGCTGCCAATGTGCTGAGAAGGGGCTAAAAAGGGACATTTTCCTTCCTGGCTGCCGGCATGACTGCCGCTAGCTACACACTGGGATCATAAAGTGGACTCTGGAAAGCAGAAGAAGACTTTGATGGCCAAGTGACACAGATGTTACACCATATTTAGAGAAATGTCCAGTACCTAATGTTGGATTTCAGCTGTCAATTTCACATACACACACACACACACACACACCCTAATTCCAGAGGTGAGGAGAGTTGCAAACTGAAGATAAAAAATAGGCCCCTCTACCTCCTCGGAGAGAGCTTTTTAAATAAATCTTTTTACTTTTTTTTTTTTTTTGTCTTTTTCGTTTTTATCGGTACCAGGGATTGAACTCACGACTGCCTGCTTGCAAGGCAGGTGCTTATGCCGCTGAGCTAAATCCTCAGCCCCAAATCTTTTTACTTCTTTACCAAAATATATGGCCTCCTTTAATTTGGTCAAGAGCAAGGAAATGAACCTGAGCGTAGGAATCCAGGTGGCTGGTGATAGGAGGGCGGGCATCTCTGCTACATACTGGTTTCATTTCCTTTGGACACTCCTATCTGATAGTACAACTGTTGGGCGATACAATAATTTCATTGAATTGTATGAGCAACTTCCATACTGGTTGTACTAGTGTTTTTTCCCCACCAGCAGTGTGTAAGGGTTTCCTTTAATCCACATCCTCCTCAGCATTTCTTATCCTTTTACTTACTGAAATCAGCCATTAAGTAGAGTGACCTGGATTTTTTTTTTTTTTTGTTTTGTTTTTTTTGTAGCCCAGACTGGCCTCAAACTCATGGCGAGCCTCCCACCTCAGCATCTGAGTGCTGGAATTACTGGCATGATTTTGATTTGCATTTCCTGATAATGTTTTAAAATTATTTTTTATATCTTCATTCACCATTCGTATGTCTTCTTTAAAGAAAAATGTTTATTTTAGGTCTGCTGACCCATTTTAAGATCAAGTGGTTATTATGTTATGATCTTCCTATGAAGTCTGAGATTGTTATATTTTAATTGTTGCCCCAGAATTTTTTAGGTCAGTTCCTATAGATTTTTATGTAGAAGATCACACCATTTCTGGACAAGGTTAGAGTAATTTTCCCCTTCCCAATCTGAAACATGTTTTATTTCACTTTCTCACATTACTGTATTAGGTGATGTATCCATTTCAGTATGATGTCCTAAATGAGTCATGGAAATGTGTCGTCTTGTTTCTATTCTTTCTGGTCATCTTTATTTACTGTTAAGCATGATGCTGTGGTTCGCCCGTGTGGTATGTGCAGGAGCTGGAGACAGCAATACACTGTACCCCACCCCCCCATGCAGCGCTCAGTCATCACCTCTGGTCTGCTTCTGAGCCTGGCCAAATCTCATCATGAACCATACTGCTAAGGATTACATAAACGTTCAAAGTTTACCATCTGAGGGGCCAACGTCCTAGCTGTCAGGGCCACATGTGGCTCAAGTCTGCAGCTCTGACACAGGTACATAAATATGGGCCATTGGGGGACATTTTACATTCAAACTAAAGCAACCTGTAACAGGTTCTTTAGTTGCAGTGGGATAGCAGGATATTTTTATTTTTAAATATTAAAAAAAATTAGTGGGGCTGGGGATTTAGCTCAGTGGCATAAGCGCTTGCCTCCCAAGTGCATGGTTGTGAATTCGATCCCTAGTATCGGGAAAAAAAAATATTAAAGAGGCTGAGGCAGGAGGATTGCTGCAAGTTCAAGGCCAGCCTGGGCTACCAAGTGAGTTCCAGGACAGCATGAACTGAACGGTCAAATTCTGCCTCAAAAAAAGATTAAAAAGTAAACAAACAAAACAAAACAATATACAGGTTTCTATTATAGAATGATTATACTCATCATGAGAAATTGGTACATGTACATAGCACAATTTAACCAACTCCTCTGCGATATTTTTTTTTCCTCTGTGATATTTTTAAAAGTACATTGTCAGCTGGGCATGGTGCTGCATACCTGTAATCCCACTAAGGCAAGAGGACTGCCGTGAATTCAAGGCCATCCTGGGCTATATAATGAGATCCAGTCTCAAAAAAAATCAAAGGAAAGGACAGTTTCGTACCCTTAAGCACCTTCAGCATTTTTCTCCATTGAATTAAAAATGTAATGTTAATAGAGTTCTCAGTATTGAACTTTCCTTCAATTGTAGAATAAACTCAGGAATTTTCTTGGTCTTTGTAATTTATTTCTTGTCCTCTTATCAATAAATATTAATTTCCCCAGATTCTTCTTATCTTTCTCCTTCAGTCTCCAGGGTTCTTTTCAACCATTTCATTCATTTTAATGATACCAAGCAGTAACAAATTCTACATGAATCAAACAAAATATGCACAAGGTCTTTATCAGGAAAACGATAAAGCTCTGATTATCAAAATCTAAGAACAGTAAGTGGAGACACACTGCATGTTCACAGATAGGAAGACCAAGTTTTGAGACTGAGACAGCTGTGGTGCTGTTCCACCAGCCATACAGACACTGCCCAGCAGCAGACCCACACAGGTGCTGATTCCTGACCTACGAAGCTGTGACCCATAATGAGGATTCCTGTGCAGGCCAGGAAATTTTGTGGTACGTTGATGAAGAGGAGATGGGGCTAGGGATTTAGCTTGGCGGCATAAGTGTCTGCTTGGCAAACAGAAGGTCCTGAGTTCAATCCCCAGTATAAAAAAAAAAAAAAAAAGAAAAAGATGAAGAGGAGGATATCATTCCAGCATCTTAATAGTCATCAGATACCACAGAGTACCTTAACTTCAAACATTGAGTATGTAGATTAAGACTAAAACTTAGGCTTATAATAAATGCATTAGAGGCCATGCCTGGATGTGTACTACGAACTGAGAATGTCCAGTGCCAGTCCAATTTTCACTCTTACTCCAATATAAACTACAAGAACAGTGCAAAAACAATGCTGTGACTACTGTACTCAACTACTTTTCCCTATTCATTGTAAAACAATTAGGGAATATACCAGAGGAATCAAGTGCACTATTTTTAAAAGTCTGAGAATGTGACAGTTCTTTTTGAACCACAATCATACAGTTGCATATGATTAATAAGAACTACATGGCCAGGCATGGTAGCACACACCTGTAATTCCAGCATTAGGGAGGCTAAGGCAGGAGAATCACTGAGTTTGAGGCCAGCCTGAGCTATTAAGTGAGCCCAAGGCCAGCCTGAACTGCATAGTGAAACCCTGCCTCAAAAAGAAAAAAAAAAAAAAAAAAAAGAGGAACTACAGGTGGAAGCCTGGTATACTGGCACAACTAGCATAGTCCCAGCTACATCAGTATCACTATGCTGAACAATTAGAAGTTCAAGGTCAACCTGAGCCTTGGATTCAACAAGATCTTGTTTCAAAATATTTTTCATAAGGTCTATGGAAAACAATGCGGTAGCATGCATTGTAGTCCCAGCACTTGGGGAGGCTGAAGCAAAAGGATCACAGGTTCAAGCCTAGACCTACTTAGTAAGATTCAGGCTCAACATAAGAAAAAAAAATTTTTTTATAGGTACCAAGGATCGAATTCACGACCATGTGCTTGCAAGGCAGGCACTTATGCGGCTGATCTAAATCCCCAGCCCTAAGAAAACTTTTTTTAAAAGGCTGGGGATGGGGGCTGGAGATTTAGCTCAGCGGCATAAGCGTCTGCCTTGCAAGCAGGCAGTCGTGAATTCGATCCCTGATATCGATAAAAAGGAAAAAGCCAAAAAAAAAAGGCTGGGGATGTAGTTCATATGAGGACCCTGAGTTCAATTCTCAGTATAGGAAAAAACATAAAAGCTACAGACAAAAATCACTAACATACGTATAAATATATAAATTTTGAAAATACTTGTTTCTCATTTTTGTTCTCTGCCTCCCCCTTTATTGATCTGCATTCAAATGTATCCCCCTCTTTTTATTTTTTATTTATTTACATTTTTTTTGTACTGGGGACTGAACTCATGATATCGCACTTGCTAGGCTGGAGCTAAGTCCCTAGCCCTCCCCCAGCTCCTGAATGTTTTTTCCAACTAACCCCTGAGGATGTCACATACTGTATATCAGCATCATTCCAAAAGGACTGAACCTCATTCCTGAGGAGGATTGTTGCGAGTCCGAGACCAATCTAGGCTATAAAGTGAGCCCAAGGCCAGTCTGAAATGCACAGTGAGACCCTGTCTCAAAAAGACAAAAAAAAAATTTTTTTTCATTGGTTCACAAGCATGATCAGCTTCTTTCCCCAGACTGGCACTTAAACAATAAAATAAAATGAAAAGAATGTTGAGCGGGTACAGAAGTTGACACCAGATGGGATTAGATACAAGGCAGAGGGAGTACAAGAAAAAATTCATTTTTCAGGATTGGGCTATTGGCAAGGTTTGATACTGTATTTAGAAGAAAGCTGTGCTACTTCTTTTGTATTTGTTGAGGTTGAAATGTCTTTTGGGAAGATACACAAATGGTCCAAAAGGGAGTTAAATCTGGGACTTCAAATTCTGGTCTAAGGCTGAGGGAATAAAAGGAAGCTGGAGAGGAGTGCACACCCCAGATTGCTAAATTTACCTAAGAGAAATGCAGAACGCAAAGAATGGGATCCACGATGTGCAAAACTTGGAGGAGCCATGCGAATTAGCAGAAAAACACAAAAGAATTTAAGGAAGCAAAGAAAATATCACCGACGACACAGCGAGCTTGCTGGGCCAGAGCTGCCACGCGAACTCGGCACACGCTGGCCAACTCGCGTGGTCTTCAGACGCCGCCTGCGTGGACCTCGCCACTCGCCCGTCTCCCTCGCAGCTCCTGACTGCACGCTCTGTGCACTCGGCGCACGCAGGGCCGAGCCGCCCTGACTAAGCAGTGAGGAAAGCCGGGCCGGGTCGCCCTCGTCCGCATGGGACTCGCGGACCCCGCGCTCACGTCGCTGCCCAGACCCACTTGGGTCGGTCCTCAGCTGTGCACTGCAGGTCCTGCCGCCCACACCCTCCCGCGTTCCCACTGCTACCAATGTCAGGATACTCGTCTGGCTCCTCAGGATTTAAATTGGCGTCTCTCCCTCCCACTAACCTTCAGCGACCTGCACGACAGCGAGTCTGTGCAGGAAAACTCAAGAAACTGGAAACCCGGAGAGGATACTAGATGACAGCAGCAAATGACTTACCCGCGGAACCTTGCAGCTCAGCAAACCAGGCACACGCCCCTCCATCCAGGCCGCAAGCCTATTGGCTGGGGCCACCCACATCCGGGCGTGTCCCTGATCCTCAGCGTGCTGGCCCACGCGTCAAGCACAGACACACCCACGACTGTGCTTTACTAATCCACTAGGTGTTTGATCCGTTCAAGTTCGAGGTTTGCGAACTTGAGTCGCGGACCGCTCATCTCGTCTCACACAGGAGTAAACCAACGACACAGCGAGCTTACTGGGAGAAGCAGCGTGCTGAGGGCCAGAACTGCCAGGCGAACTCTGCCGCACTCTTGGCGCACGCTGCCAAACTCGGATGGTCGGCAGACGCCGCCTGTGTGGACCTCGCCACTCGGCCGTCTCCCTCGCAGCTCCTGAGGACACGCTCTGCGCACCCGGCGCACGCAGGGCCGAGCCGCCCCTAAGCAGGGAGAAAAGCGGAGCTGGGTCGCCCTCGCCAACACGGGACTCGCGGACCCCGCGCTCACGTCACTGCCCAGACTCGCTCGGGTCGGTCCTCAGCTGTGCACGGCAGGTCCTGGCGCCCACAACCTCCCGCGTTCCCGCTGCCACCAAAGACAGGATACTCGTCTGGCTCCTCAGGATTTAAATTGACGTCTCTCCCTCCCACAACCCTTCAGACACTCAGAACGCAGCCCCTCGGCCAATAAAGCAGCTGTAGGGCGGGGCGATACCCGGAACTTCCGGTAAGATTGTTGCTGGAACTAAATCGGTGCACGAAAAGTACTAAAAGCTGTTTCCGGTTCTTGTGGCGTGGTGAGTTTTTAGACTACATTTCCCACAAACCCCCGCGCGGACCCCCAATAACAAAAGTTGTGGTTGGTTATAGTTAGTCTCTCTTGCGACGGAATGCTGTTTGTATTTGTAAGCAAAGGTCTTCCCATCTTTTACTTTTTTTTTTTTTTGTATCGGGGATTAAACTCACCACCTGATGCTTGCCAGGCATGTGCTTGTGTCGCTGAGCTACAGGCCAGAGAAGGCCCCGGTCTTCCCATCTTGACCACACTAAGCCATATCGCCAAAGCATTATTATTGTTTTTCTGTCTTTCCTTATTGATGACAATGTCTCGCTAAATTGCCCAGGATGGTCTCAAACTTGTGATGCTCCTCCCACATCCACTTCAATGGCTTGGATTGCAGATGTGCGCCAGCACATTTAAAAGTATTGTAATTATGAAATCCAACTCCGTTGTGCACAGCTACTTTCTAGTATGTGAAAAGTCCTATCAATTTTATGTTTGTTAACAAGAAGTCCATATGCTCTCTTCAAATCCATTTAAGAGGCATTTGCTCTAGATGGATAGTAGTGCTCACCTGTAATCACGGCTAATTTTGGGGTGCTGAGCAGGACCACAAATTAAAGCCAACCTAATCAAATTAGTGAGACTCTATCTGAAAATTAAAAATAAAAAGGGCTGTGTAAGAAGCTCAGTGCTAAGGTCTTGGGGTCCACTGCCGATCCCCTAAAATAATAAGAAAAATTAAAAGATAAAAAGATCTGATGGATCTCAGTTCTCAATCCTTTGCCAACATGAATCAGGCCCTGGGTTAAATGCCCAGTAAGAGAGAAAAAGAAAATATTCGTTGTCATTCATTTACTTGTGGACATTTGAGTGGCTGTAATAATCCGCTGGAAATATTCCTGTCCTCTAGGTACTGGAATAAAACCTTAGAGAGGTGCCGTCTTAGTTACTTTCTTATTGTTGGGACAAAAATACCCAGTACGCATAAGTTAAAGGAGGAGTGGTTATTTTAGCTCACACTTTGTAGAGGTTTTAGGTCATGGTTCGCTGGCTCCAAAGCAGATTGGAATGGCAGAAAAGAAATAGTTCATGGCAAAATAGGCAGGAAGCAACAGCCATCAAAAGAGGAAGAATATACATAGATCCTTCCAGGCCACACACACAATGACCCACCAGGCTTCACCTCCTAACATCACACCCGTTAGTGCACTAATCCCATATCTCAGCTATGATCCAGTCACCTCCCAAAAGCTCCACCTATGTGTATGTGTAAACTGGAGGTGAGAGGGGCATCTAGATATGTCATAATAGGTGCACTCTATAATCCCTGTACCAAGACCCACTCTCATCATAGTACTCCACTGAATATAAATATTTTTCTTATCCATCCACTGATGGATATATAGGCCACTTCCAAGATTTAGTTAGCAGTTATGAGTTGAGCAGCTATAAACAGGGGTGGGCAAAGATCACTGCAATATGATGGCTATACCACTTTTGGGAAGGTGCCTAGAAAGGAATTGAGTAGAACAGAATTTCTATTTTAGGGTTTTTTTTTTTTAGGAATCTCCATACTGATTTTCATAGAACTTAAACTAATGTTGATTGCCACCAATGACGTAGATTCCTTTTCCCCTGAAGCATCACCAGAATTTGTTACTATTTGAGTTCTTGATGATGGCCATTCTTTCTGGAATAAGGTACAATCTCTGTCTTGTATGAATTTGCATAGCAGAAATTAATTTTCAATCATTTAAGATTGTCAATGGGTCATAAGTAATTACCAAACAAGACAATTCTCTCAAAGCATGATAAACTAGGGAACATATTTTAAAAATTTTCTTAATGAAAAACAGCAAAATGCAGAGGATTCAAATTCTGTATAAAACCAAAAAGAGGTATGTAAGAAAACTTGGTGCCAAGTAAGAGAACCCTATTACATCATACTAGAGAAACCTAGAGATAATATGTGATTTTGTAGCAAAAACCCACATTAACAAATGAGACCCTGAAATGAGGAAAATGCAGATAGACCAGCGAGCACAGCAGAGTTTGGAATGAAAGCAGAGACTGAGGTGCTGGTCTGCTCTCCCACCTGCTTGGGAGCCCGAAGCCAGCAGAGCACAAGTTCAGGGCCAGCCTGGGACACAGAGAACACGGCTGAAAATAAAAGAAAGGGCTGTGGGTGTAGCTCAGAGAGAGAGAGCAGCCAGGCTTCAAGGCCCATTACTAGAGAGAAAAAAAAGAGGAAGAAAAATAACAAAAAGTTGGACTGAGGCTTAAATGTCTCTTTATAGAACAAACCCAAGAATACATAGGTTCACAGCTCAATGATAACTGACCTTTAACAAATTCTAACTTTTTTTGGTACCAAGAATCAAACTCATGATCTTGTGCTTGCCAGACAGGTGCTGTGCCACTAAGGTATATCCCTGGCCCAAATTCTAATTTTTTTTTTTTTTTTTTTGTCTTTTTCCTTTTTATCGGAGCCAGGGATTGAACTCATGACTGCCTACTTTCAAGGCAGGCGCTTATGCCGCTGAGCTAAACCTCCAGCCCCATTTTTTTTTTTCCAGTCTTTTTCCTTTTTATCGGTACCGGGGATTGAACTCACGACTGCCTGCTTGCAAGGCAGGCGCTTATGCCGCTGAGCTAAATCCCCAGCCCTCAAATTCTAATTTTTAAACCAGGTGTGGCACATTGCCTGTAATACTAGCACTCAGAAGACTGAAGCAGGATGATTACCATGAGGTCATGGCCAGCCTGGGTTACACAGTGAGTTCAAGGCCAGCCTGAACTACACAGTGAGGCCCTATCTCAAGAAACAAAACAAAACAAAATTTAAAAAATTGTAATTTTTAAAAATGATCAAACTGGGCATGGTGGCACTTGGCTGTGATCCCTGCACTCAGGAGGCTGAGGCAAGAGGACTGCATTGAGTTCAAGGCCAAACTGGACTACAAAGTGAGTTCAAGGCCAGTCTGAACTGTACAGTGAAACCTTGTTTCAATAAGACTTTTTTAAAAATAAGAAAAGGGCCAGGGATTTAGCTCAGTGGTGTAAGTGTCTGCCTGTCAAGAGTCTTGAGGTCATGAAGTTCAGTCCCTGGGAAAAAACATACAAAAAAAAATCAAAGCCTAAGGGCCTAGGATTTACTTAGCCCCATAAACGTCTGAGCGCAAGGTCTTGAGTTCGATCCCCAGTACCAAAAAAAAAAAAAAAGAGAGAGAGAGAAAAACAATCAAAGCCTACGCTAAAGGGGATACCATCTTTTCACTAACTGTATGATACAAAATTAGAAGTTGATACAGTGAACGTTATTTTATCTAATTTAGGATGTCAATGGTTGTAAAACAAGTTTTAAACATAACAAATACACTTCCCAAAGTGGGCATGACTCAAGACTGAGAAAGGATCTCAAGTTCAAGGTGAGATTTTCGTTTTTTAAACATTACTTCAACTATTTAAACACTACGAAAATGAGCCATTCAGATACAGCTGAGAACAAGAATTTAAAGTGCATGCTGCCTTTTCTCCTCAGCTCCAGGGAAACTCCCACGTGGCCCTCCAGTGTTCCCTGGGGTCATCCCAGAGCTCCATGTTTGTCCTGTCAGTACAAGAATTTCCCCAAGAAAATAAACCCCGGTCTGTACAGGAAATACTATGGCATACTATAATGATGCATACCCAACACTACAACAAAGGGAATGTTCACTGCCAAAATATTTGAGAAAGTAAAACGTGCAGCAGACTTTCTCCCCAACATTAACAGAAGAGGAAGCTTCTCTGGGTCTTTCCCTCCTGGCCACCCCCAGGGGTTGCAAAGTAGGACGGGTCCTGGAAAGGGAGCTCTGGTCCTCACCCTTGGCAAAGCCTGAAAGTCTGAGCAGCACACTGGGCTCTTGGTGAGAAGCTTGTGCGCCCTCTGCTGGGTCCAAGAGTCAATGCAGGACTCTGAGGGCTGAATTTAGAGTGGGGTGTCTGTGCGCTGTGCGGTTCCACAGAATTACTGAAACTGTTCTGCTCTATAGCTACATTACCAGGAAAGTCTCGTGAGCTCACAGGTGCCACTCTAGGGAGGTGACAGGGTCAGGAGTGTGAGACACTGCATTACTGCACTGATGGGCTTTTAGGTGGGTGTAATGTTGGGTGAAGCCAGGTGGAAAGAGACAGGTACTGGCCGTGGCCTGGAAGGTATGTATTATGTATGTCCGTTGCGCCTTGCTGGCTGTCACTTTCTGCCTGTGATGCCCTCTGCCATGCTGTCCTGCCTTGGAACCAGCCAACCAAGAACTGAAGCCTCTAGAACCCTGTGAGGTCTAATAAATCCTTCCTCCTATACTATGTGTGGGTGGCAGGGACGGCAGCCAAGCAAAGAATGTAACTAAGGCATCCGCATGACCTGCGTGAGTGACTGAGCAGCCCAGGCAGCGCACATCTGTGCAGCTGAATAGCTACAAGTAGAGCAAGAGGAACCAGTGCCTGGATACATAGATGGGTGAGTGCAAGAAATCAGTGTGGGGGGACCGAGAAGAGGGAAAAATAGAAAGAATGAAGCTGTGTTACGTACATGTGCATGTTACGTGTTACCCTTATGTACAACCCTCCATGACAAATATAATTGTTACATACCACAAACATGTACTAATAAAAGCTAAGGACAAAAAGGGGCTGAGAGAGAAAATGATGGATCCTGGAAAATCTAGAGATGTTGCCAGGAGACAGAGTGACTGAATGCCACAGTTTTTTGTTTTTTTTTTTATCAGTACCAGGGATCGAACTCACGACTGCCTGCTTGCAAGGCAGGCGCTTGTGCCACTGAGCTAAATCTCCAGCCCCTCGCCACAGTTACTTAAGGGCTGAAGAAATGTCCTGACACTGGCTGTGAAGATGGCTGTACAATGCTATGACTATATGAACATCTCTAGATTTTCCAGCCTTGCACAAATGGACTGGGTCCAGACTGTTTTCATTTTTATTATCACTCAAATGAGACCTTCTCGTTTTGACAGAAACAAGCAATTCTGGGTAAAGTGCTTGGGAAAGAAGACTGCGCAAGGTCCTCAGTGACCACAGGCAGTAGCTACACTATACACCCCACAGCACCTCAGAAACTCAACTGTAGTTTCCTCCCCGCAGAATAGAGGGGCAAGAGAACGTGAAGCCCTAAGTTCCAAAGCAGCAGAGGCCAGCCTTCTTCCTGTGAGGCGATGCAGCCCTTCTACTTCTGTCCTTCCCACATTTCTGTCCCCTGCCAGCTCCATTCTCCAGCAGGTTATCATCCTAGATGTACTTATACACGACCTTTGAAGGCACAGTCTGCAGGTGGAGTCGCACAGGACACTTGTAAAGGTGTGACAGCAAGGTCTCGCTGTAGCCCACAAGGAAGTAGACCTTGTGTGCAGGCAGCTGCCTCAAGAGCAGGGCACAGATCTCCACCTGGTTGCCCCGGCGCTTCAGGACCACCTCATCGGCCAGGCAGCCCGGGAAAGTACCCATCATGAACTTTCGAAGGAATACATCCTCCACCGTTCGCTCCGCAGCGTGGTCCTCTCCATCCAGGTTGCCTGAAGAAAAGCCACTGGAGAAGAGTCAGCCCAGTGCTCAGGGAACTGCCAAGACCCCAGATCTCACAGCCAGGAGCACTGGGCTCTCAGTTCCACCCCTTGCCCCAGCCTCTTACATTTTTAAGTTTAAAACACATTCTTTCATGCCAGGCTGGTCGCACAGGTCTGCAACCCCAGCTCCTTGGCAGGCAGAGTCAAAGGATCACAATTTGGAGGCCAGCCCTGGCAACTTAGCGAGACCCTAACTCAAAGTAAAACCTCAAACAGGCTGGGGATACAGCTCAGTGCTAAAGCACCTGAGTTTGATTCCCAATATAAAACAAAACAAAAACACCCATTCTTTTCTGAATTTCCAGGCCAACCCTGTGAAGAAAGTCCTGTCACTATCCTCCTTTCACAAAAGGGAAGATCAAGGCCTAAACCAGGGCACAAAACAGGTGACGACTCTGTATTCAGTCCCTTTGCCAGTCTTTCCTCACTGGCTGTAAAAGCACAGATCATACTGTGAGCTAAAAGATGAGCCACCAACTACTGACCATTTATTCATTCTTGTGGTGTCAGGAATTGAATACAAGAACACGGGGCTCTTCTGTTGTTGTTTGGGGTACTGGGGATTGAACCCAAGGGTTGGTGTATGCTACCCTGAGCCACATCCTCAAGCCTGTATTTCAGTAAGATCTCTAGAGGCATCCACACATCCTTAGATGTGAGAACCCTTATAGTGAACACCCACAGTTGGTTTTCATTGGTTCACTGAGGTTATGTCTTATCATGGAGCCAGGGAGGTCTGATCTATACAGCTCACCCAGGTCCATGTGCCCTTCTATTTAAAAACACTATGTATAACATACAATTCTTAGTAGACTCAGCGAACAATACCCTAACTCAGGCCTCAATTGAGCTCAGAGCTTATCTGGTATTTATGTTCTCCAGGAGGAACATTCCAGCTTTCTGGTGCTCAGGAATGGGAGGCAATGTTTCAGGATCATTTTAAGTAGCAAAATCACAACAAACAACTTAAAAATCTGGCTCTAAACTGTGAAAAGGGCACAGGAGAGCTTGTTCTACCTCTGCCCATGTACTGTAGAACTTTTAAAATGCCACAGTATATTGACTTTGAGGTCACAAATAAATTTTAGTCAATATTAGAGCAAGAGGGGCTAGGGATTTAGCTCAGCAGTGTAAGTGCCTGCCTTGCAAGCACATGATCACGAGTTCAATCCCTGGTACCGGTTTAAAAAAAAAAAAAAAAAGAAGAGCCAGTTGGGCTGGGGATTTAGCTCAGCGGCATAAGCGCCTGCCTTGCAAGCAGGCGGTTGTGAGTTCGATCCCTGGTATGGATTTAAAAAAAGTTTAGAAAAAAATTAGAGCAAGAGGCCAGTCTGTCTATATTCCTTTTTTTTTTTTTTAATACAGTTCAGGCTGACGTTGAACTTTTGCTTATGTAACTCAGGCTGGCCTCAAACTCACAGCAATCCTCCTGTCTCAGCATCCTGAGTTGCTGGGTTACAGGTGTGCATCACTACACTGCGGCTCAAACTAAAATTTTTTAAGGACTGGGAATGTAGCTCAGTGAGAAGATCTGGGTTCAATCCTAGTAGCACTAGAAAGAAAATGGGGGCAAACGCAGGAGTGGGGATATAGCTCAGTGGTAGACGCTTTGCCCACCATTCATGAAGACCAGGACCACCAAAGAGGATTGATTGGCTGCACCTACGTGTAGTAAAAACTGTGCTTCAGCGGGAATCTGCGTTATTTAGGGATACCTGGGATCCTGGGAGGCTTCACTAAATTACTTCTGAACCGTATTACAGAAAACTTCAGCTATGCATTTAGACATGCAAATAATTTCTGCTCCGTGGAGCCTCAATTAGTTATTGGTCCCCAAGGAAAGTTTTGCATTCATCTGCAAACTCATTCCATCATTCTTGCTTTGTTACTTCTCGGAACTGCTTAACTGATTTCCGATCCCGCCTTAATGCCACTTTCCAGCCGCCCCGGGTCCGCAGCAGAATGCTCACCTGTGTGCAGCGACAGCCACCCCTTCCGGTGAGCAATGTAGTGTGGGGCGTGCACCTCTTCATAGGTCACCGGCTTGTCCCCTTTGCTCACGCGCACACGGGCCGCCCGGTTCTAGGGGCAAAGGCGCCGTCATCCCGCAGCCCTCAGACCCGCCCAGCCCGGCCCAGCTCGCCCGGGGACAGCACTTACCTTGGCGCAGATGGCAGAGGTGTGCAAGGCGCGCCAGGGTCCAAGGAGTTCCCGGCTCGAGTACAGTACCTGCGGGGGGATGACACATGAGGCGGAAGCCCCAAGTCCGCCCTGACTCCTTCCTGGCCACCGCAACTCCCACTCACGCGCTGCCCCATTACCCGGCTGCACACGGACGCCATCTTGGCCCAAAACAGCGCTGACCCAAACCGAACCCGCGGGGTCTAAAGCCTAGGCGGGCGGGGCGGGGCTTCTGTGGGAGAGGCAGGGCTTCGGAGGGACCGGATCTCAGCCAGAGGGGCGGGGCCAAGGAAAATGAGACGCGGACGGGGACGGGGCGGGAGGGGCGGGACCTCGAGAGGGGTTTTTAGTGTGAGGCGCGCGACAGTGGGCGGAGTCGGAGGGGCGGGGAGGGACGGGGCTTTGGCCAGCAGAGCCCTGTGCACTCTCGCGTCAGTCCCTGAGGCTGTCAGTCCGGCAGTGGTGGTTGCGGCTATCAGCGATCCATTAGTAAGCCGCCTCGGATAAACCTCATTGGCCACTGTACTGGGCATCCGGTATCAAACCCGGATGTCTGATGAGGCGGAATGTGAGCTTTCGTCCTCCAGGCGCGCGAGCTGAGAGCGCCGCGTCCCGCTGAAAGACCCAGGGGGACGGGCGCCTGCCACCCTCGAGTTCCTGGGGAAGGGAGCGTGCCGCCCTAAACCTTCGGAACTCGGTTCCCGAGCTCCGCCTCCTGCCAGTCAAACGGCTGCGGCGCCTGCGCTGCGGGGAAAGCCTCCTGGCTTTGGGGCGCAAAAGGAGACGAAACTGTTTTGGTCAAAACTTTACCCAATTCTTGTTTTTGAGGTACAGAGATGGTGGTGGCCATCGGAAAGGAAACCTTTAGGTACCAATGAAATTCGTGAGGACATTAGGGCTAGGGGCATTCAAGCCAGAGTGGCGGCAGCGTAACTGATATCCAGTAATTATGAATGTCAAAGGCGAAAATAGCAACAGGATACATGCAGGCTCTGGTGTCCGGGCTCTCTGTCCCTCTGTCTGTGTCTGTGTCTGTGTCTCTGTCTCTGTTTTTTTTCCTCTCCTTTAGCGTTACTGGAGACTGAACCCAAGATACATCGATGCTCAGTCTAGCACTGAACTACATCCCCAGCCCATTTTTATTTTGACACAAGGTCTCATTAAATTAATTGCCAAACCTGGGTGGAAACTTGCGATTCCTTGCTTTGAGTGATGTGATTACAGGTATACACCACCAAACCTGGGTACTTTTGTTCAGTTGAACCTATAAAATGGGCTTATTAATAACTGCTGGACTTCAGGCCTGCCATGGTGGTGCATGCCTATAACCCCAGCATTTGGGAGGCTTGAGACAGGAGTATGATCAGGAGTTCAAGGCCTGCCTCAGCTAGTGAGACCCTATCTCAAAAAAAAAAAAAAAAAAAAAAAAATATATATATATATATATATATATATATATAATGATAATTGTACAAGACAGTTCCATATTTACTAAAGATAGCTGCTCTTGGTGACAGTAGGTTGAATCAGGTGAAGTTGCCAATATTTGGCTGATGGGACCTACAAGGTTTGTGCCAATGGCACTGGCCCCCTATTTTGGTCTCCTGAGGTGTGGGTGGGGATTTGATGATCACCAAGAAAGGGACATGCAAGCAAAAGTGAGCATAGCATCACTGGTGTCACATGGGAAGAGGCAGCCCACAAGACTGAAAATATCTTGGCTTTAGCCTTGCCCATTTCCATGGCCACAATTCCTCTGACCACTTGAATCTGGGTTGTCAAAAAGTCCTTAGTAAAAAAGGACAGGGTCTTTCATTCCCATCTCACTAATACTGTTTTATTTTTAATTTTTCAAACACCTCCAACAGTTCTGAACATTAGCCAAGGGACACATGGGAGTGTAGTGATCTTCAGAATCCACAAGTCCTTGTAAATGTGTTCTAATGAATCCTTTTAAACTGACAATATTTGCTTTTGTTTCTGTTTTTGTACTGAGATACTGTCTCGCTATATAACCCAGGCCAGCACTGAACTCACTATGTAGACTAGCCTGGGCCTGAATTCTCAATTCTCCTGTCTCAGCTTCCCAAGTGCTAGGATTACAGCACTAAATTCTCACAGAGTTTAAGGTTCTCACACAGTTTAACAATTTGATAAATTATACAAGTCAGCTTCCATATGATGAGGAACAGGGCATCTTGTGTCTCAACTTCCCAGATCCAAATCCTGCCTGGCTGAGCAATATGACAACAACTAGATCTCCTGAACCCAGGCTCCCTCCTCGGTAAAAATGGAGGACAAGAACAGAGGCTGTGGGCTGGAAGTGTCACTCAGCTGCAGAGCACAGTGTTAGTGTGTGTAAGGCATTAGATTTGCTTCCTAGCACCACTAAAACAATAAAAAACAGGACTGCAAAATCATACTGTGAGCAGTTAAATGTTTTTTGGTTTCTTTTTTTTTTTTTTAAATCCTGTACAGGGTATGATGGTACAAACCTATGATCCCAGAATCTCAGAGGCTGAGGTAGGACAATCAAAAGTTGCAGGCTGGCCAGGACAATTTAGCAAGACTGTGCCTCAATAATGAAAAGCTTGGGGCTGGGGATTTAGCTCAGCAGCATAAACGCCTGCCTTGCAAGCAGGCAGTCGTGAGTTCGATCCCCGGTTAAAAAAAAAAAAAGAGCTTTGTGCAGCCAATATAATTCAGTGGTAGAGCGCTTGCCTAGCATGTGCAAACCCCTGAATTTAATCCCTAATAGCAATGCAGGGAGGGGAGCGAAAAAGAGGAGAGAGTCTAAGCTGCATGTTGTTTTAGGAAAGGGAGATGGAGAAGAAACAAACTGCTGGGCATGGTGGGACACATCTGTAATCCCAGCACTCTGGAAGGCTGAGGCAAGGGGATCATTACAAATTTGAGGCCAAGCCTAGTGTAGTGGCACATATTTGTAATCCCAGCGCTTGGGAGGCTGAGGCAGGAAGATCGTTGGGAGTTCAAGCCTGGGCTATAAAGTGAGCTCAAGGCCAGCCGGAACATATAGTGAGACTATCTCAAAAAGATAAAGTGGTGTAAATTTTGAGCCCAGCCTAAACTGCATTAGCAAGACCCTTTCTCAAACAATAACATTAGAGCCTTAAGTTGAGTCCTGAATGACACAAATGTGAAGCTGACAGAAGGACAGATAGACCCCTATTGGGTCGCAGTGTAGATGACAGTAGTACAATAGGGAATTAGGATGCTTTTGCTAAAAGCATCAGCTCCACATTTGGGCCTATGTGTGCCCAGTGGGGAACTACAAACAGGGTACAGTGTGGCATCTTCATTTTGTTTTGATTTAAAATTTACTATAATGGGGTTGGTATAAAAGGAGGATCTGAAGAAGGAGACCACAAGGGAACCTGATGACATGGCCAAGGCCACAGCTCTATCCTGAGAAATGTTGTAGCTTGGTGTAACTGACACCATCTTGAGCCCTGCATTTAACTAATGTCCTGTATTTGACCCAGGAAAATGGAAAATTCCTCAGAGTACAAGTCCCATGAGAAAAGCTGAATGAGTTGCACCCACAAGAGAAAAATTAACCTGCTTAACAAAGAAGCAGAATACAGGTGTCAACCAAAAATTAATGTAAGATTCTAGCTAAAAGCTTTATAACTTTCCAGTTCAGTGCCACTCATTTGGACTCTGAAACAGGAGTTCATAGGTAGTCACTGAGCTCAGCTAACAAAATTCCAAATTTAATAAAATTCTAACATCCAAGCAAACTTGGTTGCTTGGATTCCTATATTGTTAACGAACCCACTTCACAGAACAAAGGTGGAGAGAAGAGCAGGGCGCAGCTGGATAGAGTGTGAAGTGGGACACCATGGTCGCTCCCCACCCAGAAAGCAGCTCCTGTCCCTGCTCGCCTCCTTTGCTCTGGCTCCCTAAGAGTCCACCTCTTATCTGCATTTGGCCTAGGGGCTCCTTTGGTTCCCTTGACCTCTCCCCTCCTGAAGGATTCTCAAGTAGGATGATGTCTAGGGCCTGACCCCAACGACCTGACCTCATGAAAGTACAACCTCCATCTCCCCTGCTTCTGCCCCTTTGCACATCTCACCGTCTCTGGGACAGAATCTTTAATGTCCTCCCCTCTCCTTTCCTCTCCTCTCTCCTCCTGGGAAACAAAATAAAATGAAAATTAAGTGCCAACACCCCAGGGAAGCTCAGCAGACAGTAGGGGGAAGAGGACAAGGACAGGAGGGAAAAGAAAAGCTCACAAGTCAACAAGAAAAGAAGCTGAGGTGGGGCTGGGGATTTAGCTCAGCGGCATAAGCACCTGCCTTACAAGCAGGCAGTTGTGAGTTCGATCCCTGGTCCCCATAAAAACGAAAAACACACACATAAAAGAAGCTGAGGTACAAGCTCAACAGGGCAGATTTATTTCACTACAAGCTGAGCAGATAGCTCTGGCAGTAGAGACCAGAGCAGCCATGTTCCTCCTGGTGATGGAGTCTTTTGCAGGATGGGGGATAGGGGTGGAGGTTTCAGTGAGAGGGACTGGAGCTTCCTGACTAGAACAAGGCTTGAGAGAACACAAGAGGTGATGTTTGCCCAAGGACAAGGCTTGGGAAACCTCAGGGGGTAATGGCTATTACCTTTTCATTTCATTTTGTTCTGTTTTGTTTTGTTTTTTGAGACAGGGTTTTGCCATATAGTCCAGGCTGACCTTGACTTCACTAAGTAACCCAGGCTAGCCTTGGGCAATCTTCTTGCCTCAGTCTTCCAAGTATTGGATTTACAGGCATGCACCACCACGTCTGGCTGTGGTATCAATAGCAGGGCTGATAATAAAGAATAAGCCTGTCAAGTGTGAGGTCATGAGTTCAATCCCCAATCCCCAGTACTAAACAAACAAACAAAATAAATAAATAAAGAAGGGTAAACTGGACACCTTTATAGGTAAATGGATGCAACTTGAGACCATACTCATTAGTGAAATCAGACACATGTATAAACATCGTATTGTGTCACTAGTGTGAGAAGCTGAAAGAAACAATGTGTGTGTGTATATATGTACATGGAAAAGTAGTTAAGATAGTTATACTACTGATTTCTCTGAGTTCACTGAAGAGGAAGATTTGTGCTGGTATTGTTCGGACAATTGAATGTTAGATGTCTTATGCTCTGATGAACGATTTGAGGATGACAGTGCACAATGTATATACCATTGTTGTCCCTGATTGATGTGTTTTGAAATATGGGGTTTTTTTTTTCTTTCCTTTTTTTCTCTTTGAAATAAAATAGATGTGACAGAAAAGAAAAAAAGTTTCTTTAAAGTTAAAAAAAAATAGCATAGCTGATAAAGTTATGAGTTCCCAGGAGCCCCTGCGCTGGCAGGGAGTGGTTTAGAGGGG